AGGCCACAGCACCACAGGGGGGGGGAGCCCGCCGGGGCGTGACCATATATGAAAAGCTGTCGGGACTTCTACATCGGTATCAGGATGGTAGTAGTCTCTGTGACTGCGTAAATTAGCCCGCAATGGCGTGATGAGGAAGCGCGCTGCTCTTATCTGCTCTTCCTTCACCGCGCACTTGGGTTGGTGATGGTCGGGTTTGAAGACCCTTCCTTTAAGGGCCAGCTTACTAGAGCCCGCTATTTCAACTTCAGAGTTCTGCAATGAGAGCTGCGCAGAAGATCGGGTGTGTACTCCCATGATCTGCAGCCTCTGGAGAGGCCTCCATCGTTTTGCGGAGAGCCTTGATGCAGCTACCAGGATGCACCAGCCTGTCAGCCTTTGACATGGGCATGGGTGTTTCCAGCGATTAGGGATTAGGCTTTACTTTTTCTAATGTATTTACCTGGGAAAGACTTCCATCCGCGCTTCGTGCAAGACACAAGCAAATCACAGAACTTCGCACTTGCCTCAAGCGCTCTCCGAACAGCACAAAGCACACTGAATCCGAAACCAAGCGAATAATCGTGAAGCACAGCTCAGCTTACAACTCTGTCGCACTAAGCCAGGGTGACAGAAGCGGGACACGCAGGAAACATTGAATTATAACGGTGCGCCCTCATCATGTTGACAGCGTTCCTCCCTCCGTTTTTGCTTCTGAGCTTTACTTTTTTTACCTACAGTGACTAATCCCCAAAACTTTTTGCGATTTTGGTTTATGGAGGATGGATAGCACTAAGCACTACGACTAACATCTAGATCTAATAATAAACCCATTCCACAATGAACATCGGGACTCTTGGGGAGAGAGTTTCACTATAGCCACCCTGACATTTTTGCCAATAGGATTTCTTTGTAGACTTGAGGGCTCTGAACTCGTCAAAGGCAAGAGCAGTAGTCCAGACTGTTCGAACTTTAGGAATTGCGCGCATTTGTTGCGTTGAGTTGCACTGTTAGATCTTCGAAGGTTCCGAGCCTGCTGGTGAAGATTCATAGCTTTGCGCGCTTGCAAAGAAATATGTGCATCCCAAGGCATACCATGGGTTCCTTTAATCGATGTTGTTTACAGCTCCTGCCATAAAGCCTGTACATCCCAACAACCCTCATATTGCCACTACTGGTCGGTTTTTTTGTGCTCAGGCTCACAGTCACTATTTGCTGCGACCGCGAACTGCCACAGGTCCGGCGGGTGGACGGGAAAGGATTTTTCTGAAGAGGCCCTTGCTTGCCTCAAATTCCTCAAAAAGGCAGGCAGAGGCGGCTGTTGAGACAAGCTTGTCCAAGGCTGTCAAGAATTCTAGAAGGGTTCTATATATGGTTGTTGTACAGTATGTGGAACCCGAACGGTGTACGTACGAGGAGGGTAAGGATGCCCGACATAAAGATGCCAAGGGAGAAACATTTTCAGCTCTGGGAAGATCTTGCCCCTGCGACTTCGGATATCAGCCCTGAGGCAGATTGAGCCGGCCGAAGCCAAAGACAGGTGCAGATCCACCTCGCGAGCTTCAGAGGCCGAAAACTCCGGTGGTTTCTAGGCTTTCATCCTGCTGGCATTGCAGGATGCGCATTTCGCATTGCATGACCTGTGTGGACATCATTGCCCATTGCCTGCAGCAACGGGGAAGAATTGTTACTTGTCGTCACGGAAAGGGGCATTTCCAATCTTGCGGCATGTGTAGAAGATTTGCTGCATCCGACTTGCGTGTTAAGTCTTCGGAGGTAGGCGAGCGCTATGATGTTGACTCCCTTGTCCCTTTCAAAGATTGGCGGTGTTATGTTTTATTAACAGCCATTCCGTTTGTTGCTTCCTCTGACTATAGTATTCTTCCTGAGCCCCGCTGTCACTAAGATTGATGTTCGTCAGGCCGCGCAGCGCTGCGGCGATCTGCGTAACTTGCGGACAGCAGGCCTAACCCACGCATACTGACGTACACGGCGCACACGCAGTAGGAGCTAGGGTGGCCATGCCAGCCATCAAGGCACTGTCGTTGCTTTGCGGAACGGCTTCCTTTCATATGAGAAACAGGTCTGGGGGCACGGTAGTAGTGGACATTCTCACCTGATAGTTTCAGGTGGAGACATGAGCGCGTCATGTTTCACCATCCACTTCTAGGCCAAGACGGCCTGGAAGTATCTATAGGATCTAGGTAGCTGTGCTGATTGAGCGCGGCCAGGATGGGCAGGTATTTCCCAGTCATCCATTTTCATTTTCACCAAGGCAAAGCCTAGAGGATGCGTGGATGGACGAAAAGTTGGCTGCGCCAAGTTCTGCCAAGTTCTGGGTCCCATTTGCCTTGAAGTGCCAGGAGGGGTTTCCAACCCTGTGACTGCTTTGGAATTATTTGCATTTCTCGCACCGTCTTTTGGTTTGTGTGGCGGACAATGCTTGGTGGCTAAGATTGGCATTGTTTCCAGACTATCTCGTTCGATTGGAGGCCGGCTAAGTCCCCAAGATGTGTTTCCCGCATTTCATTGTCCAAAACCTACACAGGACTTAGTTAAGGAATTTAAGTTAAGTTACTCTAATGAGGAAACCCCACTGTTTACTAAATACCCATATTATGGTAACTAAATCTACATGCCTGAACGGATTGAACAGCAACCCAGTTTACGGGCACCCCGGTGTACCTCCATTTTGGGGTGCCGCCTGAGCTGTGGGCTGTTTCCAAGGCAAGATCTGGAATCTGGGACGGGCTCCCAAGGTACGGCACTCAGGGTTTAGGGTTGTTGTGCCACACTGCTTAAAAGGAGTGATAGCGGGGATCCTGGGGCCTGCTTCGTAGGGCAGCAGCGCAATTTGCAACTTCCACATCTCAGTTTCAAAGCTGCACATGGAGGGTGTTCAGCATCAGCATTGTGGTCATGGATTGAGTGAGTTGGAACCGTTAGGATTGTGGACATGATGCCAAGGCCTGGAGCGTCGTCCCATGTTGCTGAAGTCGCAGACCAACGAGAGCTTGGGAAGCTTGCCAACTCCCCAGCATCCCACGGCGTCCCACGGTTTGGGGGTCAGGGTGAAGAATTTTGCGACGGAAACCTCGGTTTCACCGTGGAAGGTGCAGCCCCTAAGGGACATGGACTGCCAGCTCTTACTCTGAAGAAGCAAAGACTACCCAAGGCCTAAATCAACATCTTCCTGAAGCCTTGAAATTCCTAGGCCTTTCCCTGGGTCGCCGGCCGGAGGAGGATCTTCTCCTCTGGGCAGGCTATGTGGGTCCCAAGAGGGCGCTGCAGGGTTAGTGCGGCTTCTGCATGGCAGAAGTTTGCCATAGTCTCAATTTTCGGACCGGTATTTTGATCAACTGCCACATCTGTATGGATGTGAAAATTGGGTACAATGATGGAGGATGCATTCAAGAAACTGACTGATACCTGCCCATGTGATACATGTTCAGAATGTTACGAGGGAATGGATGACTGCAGTATCATACTTCTCATCCGGAGAAGTCTTTTCTATCCTATCCGGTTCCTTCCATCTCTTCCGTAGAGTGTTCCACATGCAGGTTCCCCAACTCGCCTGCCGGCAGCATCACTGGCGCCTCGCAAAGGGCTCAGTGCCTGCTTGGGTGTTTGTCGTAGTTCGGAGGGCTTTCACCGCTAACGGAAGCAGCAGAAAGAGCAATGATTACTTTGTTGTTGTAATGATTTACTCGTAAGGCAATTACGGTTAGGTCAGCGAACCGTCATGATGCCAAACCGAATTGATTATGATGCTTGGGAGGGCTCTCTGGCTGAAAGCTTGGCTTCCCGCGGCACTGCTCTTACATTTTCTAGATTCTAGACTCCAACAATTATGAAACGCCACTCTCAAACATCAGTGTTGGAAGCGTGTGGTCAGAGCGCGCGCCGCTGCAGGCGACAGTACTTCAAGGCTGTCAAGCTCGGTCCGGCTCTCATCTAGGTGGACCCAATCAGTCCCTATGCACCCCTGAAGTAGGAAGATGAAAGACCAGCGAAAGAATACTGCAGAAGTGGCCATACTCTTGGCACCTGCCGATCCTGCAATTGGCGAATTACCGACAGGGTACCTGGCACGACATGTCTGATCTCAGGGTGTGGGATCGATCTCACAGGTAGCTCTTAATTCTTGATCCTTGTGTTTTGCTGCATTGTCATTGCGCGGCAATGACCAAGGAGGCTTCCAAAATCCTCACCTCAATGTTCTCTTCGTGGAGCGCCCTGCTCGCGAATTCCAAGCCGCTTGTCGGGCAGCAAGATGCGCAGTGACATTTTGATGTAGTATCATGTGGTTCTGCAGTCCTGCATCTCAGGTGAATGAACGTGACTTGACTGCAAGATTGCTGCAAGTGAAAAGGGTACAATCAATTGAGGGCAACCAAACGGATCTACCTTCCTTGTGCCCCGGCCGTCTCAGAAACGCAAGCGCCTCTTGTGCTTAGGCGAGACCTATTGGCCTGCGAGTGGATACTACTTCATCTACCGCAGTCCCTGCCCTTGGCCAGGGAAGTCATTGCCTTGCTTGTTTATGTTTTGCTATAACTGCCTCCTGGGCATGGACCTGTGTCTGTGAGACCGCGCTGCTTTGAATGTCCGCTGCCTTCATCTCTTTGCACGAGGTATGCAGGAAGACATGCACGGCCACGCCAGCAGTGTAGCATCGTAGGGCAGCTTCAGCCTAGGGAGCCTTTGCAAGGCTTAGATGATCCCTGCAGTTATGTAGCAAGAGCAGCCTTTCAAGCAGCATTCTTCCAACCAGGCGCAGAGGGCCAGAGGCCATGGCACGCGAAGCATTGACTGCAGGGCGGCTGCAGGGGGCCTTCGTCCAAGTCCTGGACAGCATTGCTGTTCGGGATGGCGAGCTCGTAGGAAGTACTTGGCTCAAATTTTCGGAAGAAGGTTGTGCACATTGATGGAGTTGCAGCTAGTTGAGTAAGGTCGAATTTTCTTCCATAGCAGGTCGAGATTACGGGGCCACAACCAATCTGAGGCAAGGAGCTGGTTTTGCTCCAGAAGGGAGGCTACTGCAAGGTGCTCAGGGTGGGTGCGGCCCATGGCTCCGGCTTCCGACTTCAAGTTCAGGTGGGCTCCCCGAATCCCCCCCAGCACAAGGGCTTCGGAGTTTGAGGTAGCATGCATCAGCTCTTGCGCGCATTCAACGTGCACACATGTGAAGTAAGATGGACTGACATCCACTTGAGCTGCCAGGTGTTGGAAGGAGCGGCTCCTGTTCAGGGATGGATCTCCAGCTCTACAAAGACAGGGCGGCCTTTGGTCGAGATCCGTACGCTGACGGAGCTCCGGGCGGCGGGTGTAAATCCCGTTGTCAACACCGCCGTCCCAGATCCCACGCCATCTTTGGAGCAGGTCCTGAAGAGCCTGGACCGGGATGAGGCACCTAAGGTGCCCAGGAGGCCAGTGTTACAACCAGCAAGGGAGGTGGAAGAGGAGGAGCATATAGACCCCGAGGAGGTTTGGAAATCTTTTACAAATCTTGCCCGCAGTGCAAAGGAGGAGAAGAGGGAACCTGCTTCCAAAGCTGCTGACCCGTACCCAGCTTTCATGTACATACAGGAGCCCTCCCCAGAATATAGGAATGAGGTGCACGAGAGGCGCTTGCGACTCATGGCCCAAGAGAAGGCCCGTCGCAAAGCTCGAAACCGTACAGCAGCCCCGCCAGAAGAGCCCATCCTGCCCCAGCCAAGCACCAGCTCAAGATCGAGGCCTCAGCCTACACCAGCGGCGCCAGAACCAGTTCCCGAATACGTGGCGCCGGCTCAGGCAGAGCGCTTCGCCGAAGCAAGCTTCGCAGCGCGTGTGGCACGTGTGGCGCGCGAGAACCCGAACTTGATTGGCCAGAGGCAATCTCAATCTGAGGATGTTCTTGGATCGCATGGCATGGGCTTTCGCGCACAAACTCATAGGATGATTCATGCTGCGAGTAAGTAGTATGTAGGGGAACGACGTTCATATCCGCTTTGAAGTTGCAAGGTTCCCACCTACACCAGGCCTGCGGGGAGCAACGAGGACTTCACCGGCACTTGGATGGACGCCTCCGGCATTGACTTCGTGCTGGTGCGCCGGGCTGCGTTGAAGAGGTTTAAATATTCGGCCGCCCTTTCAAAGGGCTTGGTCAAGCAGGTTTTGAATTTTAGGTTCTTCTTGAAGGGTCGCAGAGACGGGTCACAGCGCGGGAGGGGCAACAGCGCTGGAAGTTGTGAAGGTTGCATGTGATGATTAGTTCAATTTCATGTCATCTCTGAGCTGAGCAAGTCTGGGTGCACATCAGGCTAGCCTGAGACTGTGTGAGCTTGTGCCCATTCAGGAGCAGAGTGGGTCCATTGTGATGGAGCGGACTGCGGGTGGGGAGTCCTGCTGTGGGATGGCAGCATCCTGGTGGAACTCACTGCTCATTGCGTGCTGCGCTGCATTTTTCCCTTTCATACTTGCAATTGGTACTTGGCTTTGGTTTAGGCTGGGCGCTTCAGGTTAGAAATGAGCTGACCATGTATGGCCGCGTGGGCAATCTGGCCGACGACCTCATCAGGCCTGCGCTGCTACTGCACGCGGTGGTCTTTGGGCCGCTGCTGCTATCGCGTATCAGACATATCAGTTGCTCCTCTTATTCCTCATCGGATGAGTATGTATCCACCTTTCTGTTCATAGCTGTAAGGTTGTTGATGGCTATATGTCAGGTGGTCTGACGGTTCCGTCTGGGCACGATGCGATGTGGATGTTACCTGGCAAGAACCAGCACGAAGCCTTCACACACTTCCCAGACCCCCAAAACGATCTAAAAATTAGATCCCCTACAACCAAACGTATGAGTTCTATAGGGGCTATGTATGTAGAACCAATAGGGTCTATTTGGGAATTGGCTTTTTCTCTATAGGCCTGAAGCACCGGGCCGGGGCGGATCAACCATTTCAACCATTT